GGATTAAACCGTGATTTAAACTGATGTTTATTGATGGTTAAGTTATTGCATATTGACTAGTGTATATCCCGTGCGATGCACGAATGAGTTCATATTTCAAATCGTTTTTTAGACTTTATGTTAAATGTAATTGTTTATATTTTTCACATCTCATCTCATTATGGAACTAAAATAAGTACAAACAATGAAAAACATAAATTATTAAACACTTCTCTTTACACAATATTTTTTATTTAAGGAATATTATTAAACCTTGCAATTTTGATTTTTTTTTTTGAATTAATTAATCAATCTATGATTTTTTAATGTACAAAAAATAATAGAAAGAATCCAAATTTCAAGTAGATCTTTTTTTCTTTTTTACAAATCAAAATCATCCAATTTTTTAAGCACTTTTATATCTCAATTTTAGTGTATATTTCATACCAATTTATTCAATGACCAACTATTAGTCAAATTACTGATCAAATTAGAAGAGAAACCCAAATATTATCCTATATCGTCTTTTTCTCTTTCTTTTTTTTTTTATTTTCTTATCTAACAATTAATAGAAAATCATGTTCCCAACATATATTTAATTAATATAAAATCAAATTAAATCTAATTAAAGTAACAAATTAGATAACATAACATTTGAAATTGGGCAAAAGATTTCAACTTACATCATCCCATCACTATAAACATATCGATATTACAGATTCGGAAGAACACCATTAACATAAACCAAAAACATTTAAGTTTCCATTTCCTAATTCCTTCAGCCGCCACCATCTGAACTGCCACCTCCCCTGGAATACCCAAAATAAATAAATAACATCATGTGAAAAAAAAAATGATAACTGTTAGATAAATGATTAATTAATTAAAATATAATATTAATTATATTTTAAAAAATTTGGTTAGATAAATGTGAATAAAATAATATCACATTATTTAGTTTGTTAGGAATGTGATTATATTAGAGTTAAGATAAAACGAAATGTACCAAAAAAAAATCTAATAGTGATCTTTTCCTTTAAATGTTTTAAATTAAATCTAATAACCAAACTTAGATTATATCATACAAGAAAAAATAAATAACAAATATTTATTAATATATTTAAAAATATAATTTTGAATTTCAAATAAAGTAAAAGGCAGAATAATTCAAATTTAGTTTCAAAAAGTTTTTAAAGTGTTTAATATTTTGGTACGTATATCCGTAAGAATAATCTTACCATATTAATTTCAAAAGATTTGGCAAGTTTGTTAATGAGATAAATCTGGTTAGATAGATGATTAATTAGTTAAAATATTATAAGAATGTGATTACATGGAAGTTAAGATAAAATTAAATGTACCAAAAAAATCTGCTTGTAATTTGTTTCTTTAACTATTTAAATTTAAAATTATAATAACCAAATTTAGATTATATCACATAAGTAAAAATAATTATTAAACATTTATTAATATATTTCAAAATGTAATTTTTAATTTCAAAATAATTAAAAGGCATGACAATTCAAATATATTATTAAAGTCTCTAAAATGTTTAATATTTTGATAAGTATATCCGTAAAAATAATCATACCATTATATTTTAAAAAATTTGGTAAGTTTGTTAATGAGATAAATTTGGTTTGATAAATGATTAATTAGATAAAATATTATATTAATTATATCTTAAAAATTCCAATTAGATAATATAGATAAAAAAATATTATATTAATTAATTTGTCAGGAATGTAATTATATGGAAGTTAAGATAAAATGGATTGTACCCAAAAAATCTGTTTGGGATCTTTCTTTTATATGTTTGAATTTAATTTTTTTCCAAAAATTTTTAAGAACACATTTTGGCGGGATTTTTTAAAATTTTTTAAAAAAATTGTCAAGTTCAGTAACATTAAAAATTTTAGGCGATATTTTATTTTATATTTCAAGTAAACTCCTATCTTATATATATATATATATTAATAGGTATCTTACCTAAATTAAAGAATGTACTCGTAATAGTCTAATACATTGTGATATTTTTTGAGGAAAGATAAAATAATAAAAGAGATTCGAGTCTCCGAGGATTCCTTTTATGTTAAACATTTGAAAAATATCTTACCGAATTTATAATTAAGTTTGTCAACATGAAAATCTATAATAATAAAATAATATAATATTAAGAATTTAGATCCTATTTTCAAGTGCCGTAAGCTAGTGGTACATCATCTCCACGCTCTGCGCACAGGCGGCAAATTGCAAAAAAATTCAAATTAAGTTTCTATGTTTAGTAATATGTTTAAGCGGGAATTAAGCTGATTTTGTAGTTACTATTTTAGAATTATTTAGGTTGCCTCTTTATATATTAATAGATTGGATTTTTCTTCATTATGTTGAGTTTGTATCGGATTTTTGTACACGCTTATGTACCAATTTCTGTTATCTGCTTCTTTATATTTTTGAAAAAAATAAAATAAAAAATTAATTCGTGTTTATTGTAAATATGTCTTTAATTGGATTGAGTTTGTGGCGGGAAAGGATGAAAACTTGAAGAAAATGAAGTTAATTTTTGTACCTTCTGAAAATTGGAAATAAATTGAGAATGAGAAAATTGTGTGCAGCCTATTGTGAATAACTTTTTTTTAAAAAAATATTTAATTTATTTGATGTTGTGAAAGATTTAGATGTTTAGCTGATGTTTTACTAAGATTATGTTCGGTATATTAAGCAAGATCACGAGATCTAATAATATAAAACTACACATAAATTAAACGTAAATTTAAAAATAAAAAAAAAAAGTTGTAAATTTACAATAAAAATGAATTGTTTATGTAATTTTTTTTAAAATATTTGTGAATAAAAATATTTCAATAATTATAGTAGAAACGTAAATTAGCCATGTTTAATAAAATCAAGTTTCAACTTGAGAACGGTGAAAGCCATATATAATGTTATTAACAGTGTGTGATGTTAATTTTATATCATATGTTGCAATTATTCATATAGCGTTGTCACTGTTGTTATAGTTGGACTTGTCTTTATTAGCGTTGTCACCGTTGTTATAGTTAGACTTGTTTTTATTTATTTATTTAGCTTTTACATGATTCATAACAAATAAATATGTTTTTATAACTATATAAATAATATTATGATATTTCACAGTATAATTGGTTTGTTAGGTTGTGTAATGGTTAGATAAGTGACAACGATATATTTTCAACAAATTTACATACTTTAATACTAAAGCTTCACTTTAGAAAGCAACATAAATAATAATTTTACATCTTATGTTATAAGTATACATTTTTTTAAGAAATTATATATGTGCCTAACCTTTAAATAATCTAATAACAGAATTTACGTAACTATTACACTACATTTTTGTTCATAAAAATATGACTAGTCCATTTTGCAGTCAAAACAATCATAAAATCAACCATCTTCCCCAGTCAATACTACTGTTTTTGTATGTACTTTTTGTTGAGTTTGCCATGTTTATTTAGGCTCAATTGTCTCAAAAAGAGTCCAACTTTGACTTTTCTAAAGTGTGACGATAAGAACAAAATGTTAAGAAGTGCAATTTCTCCAAATAAAGATGAAATTTGATTTAAAAGTGTTCCCAAATAAGATGAAATTCTAAAGGGGTTTTCAGCCTAGAAAAATACTCATTAGCTAAACGAATTAGAATATTTTATCAAAATTTGTGAGTTAGTAGTCCTATTTTTGTAATTTCTTGCAATTAATTAGTGAATAGTATTTGCAAGAATTTTTTTTTCGACATATTGTACTTGATTTTTGTTAGTTATTTGACAATTTTTACAATCGCACAAATCATTGAACAATTTTTTCATCTATTTCAAATTGTATATTTTATATTTATTTTTTAATAATAATGAGAATAAAGGTTGCTTCCATATTCTTCTCTTTGTTCGAAGTTTCCCATGTTGCAAAAATGTAATCACTCTTTTCAATCCTGGTTGAAAAGTCATGTTAGTCAAATTATATATTTTAAGTTAGAGAAAATGGGAAAATGTCCATAGCCATAGACCAAGAAGCTTCTTTTTAATTGTTAGTATTAGTAATTTAGTATTATTGATTATGAATTACGTCTAACATGATACTTGATATGATTTTCAACTTCAGTTGCACATCTTTCAATATTCTATTTTTATTTATATTTTTTACGTGGAAATAATTGGACTATATATTCAGAAAATTTTATTTTATTCTACTAATATTTTATAATTTGCAAATCACCTAATTAAGGTAATTAAAATGTAAGACAAGCTAGCTTTCAGAAATTTTGTACTAGTATTATCATTAATTTTCCCATTTAGTTTCACTTTGCATATGTGGGATATAATTGTCTAATGGTCCTAGACATCTGGNAATAAGAGTGCTTTATGCAAACTGAAACTGCAGTTCATCAAAACGCGAACTATAACACTTCACAAATTATTTTATGAGTCCGCCTAACCGTCAGTCGGGTCGATTCATCTTACATTTGTAACAAAAAAATACATACTTAATTACAATATCTTCTTCTTTGGGTAACTAATTACATTCGTCAAAGGGCTGACATATATATTGTTTTCAAAAGCAAATTTTTTTTGCAGTTAAGCAAAATTTCACTATAATTTTGTAAAATTACTGTTAGGTAGGTCTAATATTAGAAAGTCATATATTTTCAATAAATATGCATATTTTCAAATTAAAATGTCATATTTCATAAACAATATAAACAAAAGTATGACATTTCATAACACAAATATGCATTTTTACTAAAGAAAATTACGATAAATCGACCCACTAAATATTCGACCACCTCACACAATAATTTCTGACTATAATTTTCTTTGAGGCCATTGCAGAAATAAGAAAAAAAACTCACAAACTCTCCTCTTTCTACACAAGCAAATGAAAATATTCACAACTTCACAAGTCATAATTCATTCCCAAATAAATATTTTAAAAAAAAAACTTAAATATAATTAAAACCCACACACACACACAATATTTACATTACATTACACCATCTCCAACCCCGACTCACCTGACGCGCTCCCACGACTCACCTCCAACTCATCTGACTTGGCACTCGTCCTGCAAATCGGACAAGCCCCTGTCTTCAAAAGCCAAGAATCTATGCAACCCACGTGGTAAACGTGCCCACACGTGGGCAATACCCTGCATTTTTCACCTGCATTGAAGCTCTCCAAACACACGGCGCACTCCAAAGAACTCCCAATCCCGGGCCCGCCGTAATCCATACTGGGCAGGCTCTCTAAGTCGTCGGGCTTCAGGCCCGGGATTCTGTCGGACCGGCCCGTTTCCTCGTCCCTCCTCGGATTACTCCTGAAGGCCCGGCCCACGACGCAGATATGGATTATCATCAGCACTGCTATCCCCACAATCAGGAGAATCACGGATATGATTATTTCCATCACCATTACCAATTATTTATTGTGTAAAAATTATAAAAAATAAATATGAAGAATTTGAGGCTAAATCAAGAATTTACATGTCTGTAGCCAAAATAGTGGCCTTTAATTTGATAAGAAAACCAAAAACAGGGCAATTTTGTGGAGTAGAAATGAAAATGAGCTTCTGAAAAACTGAGGTGACTTGGTGTGAATATCTGATTGATTTTTATTTTATTTTAATTATTTTATCTTGGACAAAATAAGTTTGGTGGGCAAAGGCAAACAATAACTGGAAATAGCATATGGCTGTGATGTGAGGGGCCCAATATAATATGTTTGTTAGTGTTATTCTACTATATGGAAGTCTATGATATTGAAAAGTTGCTTAGAAAATGAATCAAATTGAGAAATAGTAAATTATTGAGGGGGTGAAAATAATTTTAATAGGCATGTTGGCTATAAATCTTGCATCAACATCACATGCATGATTCATCAATGATTTTGAAGACATTGATGAGTATACCCTTTTGGGTGGCTGATTGAGAGTAAAAAGATACTTATTTGCCATCGCTCGTGATTTTGACTCGATTTTGTTCTTTAAGGGTTAATTTCTACTTGTTCATATTGATAAATGAGTTTAAGTACTAGTTGCGTTCGGCTGACTCGATAAAGGCTCGGGTGTTGGGAGCTCGAGCTCTATGTGAACAAGTTCAAAACATGGCCAAAAAGGTTAAATTTCGTGATCAAAATAGTTTCATTAACAACTAAAGGTCAAAAATTGAATTATCATAGAAGGATTAGATGTCTTCTTTCTAAGTCTAGTTTGTGGGTTATGCACCTAACTAGTTGACTAGATTCCTCTTCGAATGACTATTTAAATGATTGATGATTTAATTTAGAAAATTAATTTTTTCAACGGATGAATTAGTATCGCCTATCTCTGATTTCACACTTTATATGAACTATAGAGAATATAAAGTTTGTATTGTACATGTAGCCGAACGTATTTGAAATCGAGTCCAAACACAATGTTGAAACGTAGTCAATAATTCTAAAACCACAATAAGTCGATAGTTCCAAGTTGAGGTCCCAAAAATCGTTGAATCGTCGATTCACGCTTCCAAAATTTGTACCACCATTTATATATATATATGTATATATAATATTGAATGTTGGATATTGATTAATTATGTTATTTGTGTACTTGTTGCTTTTGAATCCAGATTGATATGGCAATGTGAGTCGGGTACATTGATGTACATATCGGGTTTGGGGCCCACTTCAGATTAGCCTAAATACTCTTTTGTTCCTTATCAGTCCATGTTCTAAAAAGGTCGCTTTATATTTTTCAGCCTTTGTAAAAGTCTTGGTGTCATCTTTTGTTCTTTCAAATCGTTGATATTATTTAAGTTATCTATAATATCGAACAGTGCAAGCATGTTTAGAATTAGGATATTTCGAACAATTAATTCTGGTTTTCTTGATTCCTTTTTTGACCTTAATCAAGAAACTACAATCCATGCAGCATAATCTGACAGATTCATATGAAAATAATTCCCAAATTTAAAGAAAACCGAAAACAAACCAATAGTAATAGAGTGTTTCATGGAAAAATACTAATTAAGAAGACAAAAAAAAACACACACACACACACACACAATTAATGAAGCTTTACACCCCACAAAGCTAACAATACACACTTCTAGCTCAAGAAACACTTCCAGGTTAATTTTTTTTTTTCTCCAACTGTGCAATAATTTTCCAAATTCAATCTTACAACAACCGGTCGTTCGTTCGTTTATTTTTTTCTTTTATCTATTCTTTTTCACGGGCCACGTGTCTTACGGAAACAAAGACAACCCTGCTGTTGATCGACCGGGATCATTCCACCGCCTTTGGACGTGTCGATGGCTTCCAACATGGAGACAACCTCGTCCATTTCCGGCCTCCTGTCCGGATTCGCATCCCAACATCTTTTCATAACGTTGGCCAATGAGCTCGGGCAGCATCTCGGTATTTCGGGCCTCAAATTCTGTGGATAACAGTTTTAACATACCGTTTAACGGAAAGAGTTGACATAAGTCGAGGGTAGGGCTGCAAACGAGTTCAGTCGAGTCGAGCATGGACCTTGTCGGATTGAACTTTTTTGTTCAACGCTCAAGCTCGCCGAGCCATATAAAAAAATAAGAATGCTTGTGCTCGAGCAGTGAAGAAAAAAAGTTCAATCTGCGCTCGATAAGGTCCATGCTCGACTCGAATGCTCAAGTCCTGTGTCATTTGTAACGAACCAATTAACGCAAAGATAAGTTGACATAGTCAAGGGTAGGGCTGCAAACGAGTTGAGTCGAGTCGAGTCGAGCATGGACCTTTAAACTTTTTTCTTCACTGCTCGAGCTCGAGCTCGACGAGCCTGTAAAATGTTGCTCGATTCGTGAAAAAAAAATAAGAATGTTCGAACTCGACTCGATGCTCGACATGGCTCGAGTTTGGCTCGAAATTTTAACAACTAAAATAACAAGGTACTATTTTTAATCTAAATAGACAATTTTGGCCTTGGTGTTCTGATATTGATAATTAAACTTTAAGGTTTACTTGTGTAAATACAAAGTCGAGCGACTCGTCAAGCTTACGAGCCTCTCTTGAAATGATGCTCGAGGCTCAACTCGTTTGCTCGATTGAACTCATCGAGCTCGACTTTGACCCGTGCTCGTTTACAACCCTCGAGGGGTTCTAGAGGAAGAGTAGATGAAGAAAATATATTATTCATTTACCTGGCGAACGACTGCTGATGTCACCTCGGAGAAACTAAGGTCGGGATACGGCATGTCGCAACAATATATTTCCCACAAGCAGATCCCAAAGCTGTACACGTCACACTTTCGGTTGTACGGGTTTCCATTTAAAACCTGTAGTTTCGTTTTTCACACTGTCACGTTATTCAGATGCATTAATCAATGGTAAACAGCTTCATTTCATTACTTCCCGAAGGTTTCGATTTCTATTCGTTTTTTTTACAAAATAAAACACATATGTTCAAGGTTTCTTTTGGTTCATGACCAAATTTGTACATTTTGCACTTAATGCTTAGTAGCTGATATTGACCTACCATTTGTCGGCCACATGTTCAAGGTTTTGTTTGGTCAAGAGCATATATATATATATACATAGCGCGACAAATCATTTAATTGGAGTTGTAGATTATAAAATTTCGAATTCTTGCAGTGCAATAATNAAAAAAAAAAAAGAAAAAAAGAAAAAAAAAAAGAGAAAACAAATTTATATATACCTCTGGAGCCATGTAACCGAGGGTTCCAGTCTCCCCAGTCATGTCATTTGGATTCGAGGCCTCCACACGAGCAACCCCAAAATCAGCTATTTTAACCGTTCGTGTTTTGTCTAACAACATGTTCTCTGTCTTCACATCTCTATGGACAATCTTCTGAGAATGAAGGTAACTCAACCTACAAGGAGTAACAAATTGGGAGATTGAAATCAAGAAAAAGGAAAAAATTTGGGTTTTAAGTTTGAAAATAGAAAATAATAATAATAATAATAATAATAATAATAATAATAATAATAATAATAATAATGAAGGTACCCTCTAGCAAGATCGAGTGCCATCTGTACGACTACTTTGAAAGCAAGCTTCTTTCGCCTGTTCTTAATGAGGTAAGATTTGAGTGCACCTCCAGGAAGATACTCCACAACAACACAACAGATGTTACTCGGCATTCCAATTTGGCCGTTTTCTGTTTGAATGTTAAGTCCCGAGGAGCCCATTGTAGCGCCTATGAACTGAACCAGATGGATTTTAAATAAATGGTAGACCAATAATGGGAAGATTTTATGAAGGGTACATTAAGATACAACAACAACAACAACAAACCCAGTATATTCCCAACAGGTTGAGGTCTGGGGGGTCAGTTGTACGCAAACCTTACCCTTGTAATTATACAAGGAGGCTGTTTCCGTAGCGACCCAAGGTGCATTGTGCCGTTTGATATATTTTTTTTTTCTAGAAACTTCACTAATAGAAGAAGCACTAGAATTTAATTGAGCCATTTTGAATAATGGACGATGATCGAGTTTTTATGAAGGACTAAAATGCAGAGGTGGGAACCATCTAAAGATAGAATATTATTTGAGCCACATGAAAAAAAACTAAGGACTATAATAAACATTAGTGAAAAATACCAACCTTAGTTACATTAGGATGATCGAGTTTATGCCAAACTGCAACTTCTTGAGTAAATGCTGCTCTTAGGGAAGCTATTTCGGCTTCTGTCCTGTGGCCCTCTTCTCCCCAGTCGAGCAGTTTAACTGATTATCACAGGAAGGTATTCAACACGATGACTATATAGAGGAACTAGTAAGATATTTAGTAGTATCAAGACGAATTATACTTTAGAATATCCTTATAAAATGCATACAAAATACACCTTTTTACTTTCCTATTCATCAACATGAAAAGACATACATGTCTCGTAATACTTGGACGATTCCATTCTTAGTTTGATTTTATCTTTGAAAAATGTTTCGTAACACTTCGTACTCACAGCATTTTTATTGTTTTGTCCCTTTTGACATACTTATGAACAACAACAGGATCAATACGATAAATCTCGAATTTACAGAAGCAACACTATTGTGCGCTCTGGTTGATGTTATAAGTTCAAATTGATGCTATTAAGTTCATTCAAACTTCCACAATCTCCCCAAAATGCTCATGCAATCGGCTTCCAAACACCACACAAATTACAAAATTACCACAAAACATAAAAATACAAGACAAAAAATTAAGTGAGCATTTCTATTACTATCAATCACCTTATAATTGTTAATAGAGTTAAGAAAAACCTCGGTATTGCCATGCCTAAGACAACTAAAAAGATCTAAGTTGTCTTTTCTAGAGANAAAGAAAAGGGAGAGAGAAGAAAGCGAAAAGAAATAGTTGAATATCACAAGAAAGTGGAGAAATAACAACCCAAGTTATTACAGTCACCTCAAAAACCCAAATCAAACCCGTGCCACACAAGTCACGGACTTCATAAGAATGCATTCACTGTGCCATACCACAAAACTCCACACAGGAAAACCAAGAAAGAAAGGAAACAAAAACAACAGTAAATACTAAATAAAGAAACCAATCATGGTACATTTCTCTCACAGATTTGCCAATCAACAAACAAAGAGAGGCATGGTTATTGGTTAATGAGCATTAAAAGCATTTCTTAATACCCAACAAACTATAGTATTGAACTGGCAATTAAATTCAGGTTGTATTGTAATCACTCACCTTAATTACTCAATTAAATCTAATGCACAAAAGATTAATTCTTGTCACATATTAGCTCAACCATATCACGCAACTACATTATTCTATAATGTAACAATTTTTGTATGATAAAAAATTACTCTATACGTCCATAACTATAATTTTTTGACATATAGTAAAAGAATTTGCAAGGAAATCACAAGAAATGACAAAAGGAAACTTAAAGAAGTAAAAAGATTGAAACTTCCAAAAAGTTGAAAGTGAAAACCATTAATACGAAAAAGTGGGGTGTGGGAGAAATTGACAGGACGGTGACTGACCGGCGACATCCTGGCCGTCGTAGACGCCACGGTGGACAGTCCCAAACGTGCCACGTGCCAGAACACCCTTTATGATCAGCTTCGACGGGTCAATCTCCCACTCCTGCCTCTGCCTCCGGGCGGCGGCGCCGGCGGTGGGCTCGATTGCGGCGGCGGCGGAGGAGGAGATGGCCGCGATGGCGGCGGTGGGGCTGGGGAGGAGCTCGTCCTGATTCTTCTTCTTCTCCTTCTCGAGAGTCAAAACCCTGCTCAGGTGGCGCTCGAGCTGCTCGTCAAGGCTTTTCAAATCTATCTGATCTGCTCGCACAAAACCATTACTGGGTTTCTCCATTTTTTGTGCGAGTTTGCTGCGTGTGTGTGTGTGATTTCCTGTTGATTTGATACCTCAAAAGGGGCGATTCAGTTACATGTGGGCTTGTGGAGCAGAGCCTTTTTCTTGATTGTTTGTTTTCTTCTGTTTTTTTTTATGTGACCTGAAGAATAAATGGAGTAGGGAGAGGGGGGAAGAGTTAATTAGAGGGAGTGTGGGGGTGTTTTCTGCAAATATTATCTTTATACATGTGTGTGTGTAAACACTATACTGTGAAGTGAATTGTGTAGTCTCTTTGAAGATAGAGAGATAGAGTGCCATGTGGGCACATGGAATTGCCTGAATACAACGTGTGTTGATGACCCACAATTTTTATTTTTAGTTCAATCAAGTCCCTATATATTATATTTTATTTTATCATAAACATCATTGATCATTGACTTTTATTACTATTATTTTTTATGTTTCGTACTTTTCTCTGTTGAATTTTGGTGTTACAACAAATGTCACTCGTGAGCTACTTTTATTTCCATAATGAATCACTTTAAAGTGGAATTGAGATTCAATAATTTTCATCAATTTCTTTTTCCCCATAATTTATCATTTTAAATTTGAATTGAGAGTCAATAATTTTGGTCAAGTATATTACACATTTGACTAGTCAAGTAAAAATGATTGCCCTCTTGGGTTAAAAAGTGCATCATCTGGCACAATATTTGACTTGCAAGACATGTACCCATACATGGCAAAGTTTTGAAGATCACAAAACAAACAGTGTCCCCATGCGACAGTACCTAACTACTGAGATTCACAGTGCATGGCATTTTTGTTTTGTACCACTCTTGGTTTTGTTATCCCAATCAAATTTCAATTTTAAGTCATATTGATATAGCACTCATACTAGCTCATGTGGATCAAATACAATGCTAGCTCGAATCAACAGGTCCATGATAATTTCTAGCTCGCTGGTAGATTTTGACTGTGTTGAGAAGTTCGTTATGACAACTCGAGGCAGAAGTCAATTTTGGTCAAGGGCTAGCAGGTCGGGGCTCATCCAAAAGCTCGATCAGAGGAGGTGTCATGAGGTCGACTGAACGACTTGATAGATAGTGTATAAGACAGTAGGGTCCTGAGGTCAGTGTCCTGACGGACGAGGAAACAAAATCTTATTCACATGGAAAGTCTATCTTACTGAAAGTTAGAAGATTTTAGAGACGTGTTTTACTAGGAAACGAGATATGGACAAATTCTCTTCCCTAGTAATAAGGTTGCGTGGACCAAAAGACAACCAGCCTAAGGAGGTTACCAGTTTCTTTATATTTTTTTCGCATATTACATGCTCCAGTTTACAACAAACACGATCAAAAATTATAACTTGAGTGTCGGAGAATTTGCCGTCGGGAGTCCTCCTGGCGTATTTGTAGGTCATCGAAGCTTGAATTAGAGAACGGTTCATGACGTCATCGATTTATTAACTGGTCCGGAATAATTTACACATCACAGTCTATGTGAATGTACAAGGTTAATTTACTTACATGTTTTTTACATTTTTTGAATTTTTTGTAAAGGTACGACATTGAAATAAAAATAAAATGAGATTAAAAGGCAAATAATATGATATGTTATAAAGGAAATGATAATGGTGTGCCGGCCCAATTTTATAATCATTTTAGAAAATGGGTCCTATTGGGCCAGAGCCACAGACCATTGCCGACTTCTTATCCATCCAAGACAATATTTGAGCAACTTTCATGACAATATCGTTGACCCTTCACATATTTACTTCATTTTCTTAAATATACAATTTTAAAAATAAAATTATACATAAGCCATTTATATATTAGTTATAAATACAGAAAAAGTTAAATACAAATAACAAAAAAAAAAAGTCAATCATTTATAGTATATTTATAATTAAAAAAATAAAAGAGACTTCGTAAATGTCCAATTATAAATGAGTTTATAGGTGAATTCTGTAATTTTCTCAACTAGGACAATACATATGTATTACACGGTTATTGAGTAATTTATACTTAAAACTTTTAAGAAAATGAAAAAAATTATTTTGAATTTTAAATATTTTTTTGAAAAAACTATATTATTATTTATATTTAAAATGACATCCGTCATCTTATATTATAATATTTTTTAACTTATATCATAAACTACATTTTAGTCAAATTAATTTAAATAATTTTATTTTTTTTAAATAATTTATTTTTGTTATAAAGATAAATATAATTATTAATTCATTTTGTGTGTACAATATAGATGTCAAATCGAACTTCATCTAGAGGTGATTGATGTGATATATTATATAAAAATATATAATATATTTATAATTAAAACAAGTTTTTTTTATTATTTTAAAATAAAGACCGAGGGAAAAGAGAAAGAGATTGGAGAATGCCTTATAAACCACTTCTAGAACAATAAATGATATTAAATATAATTAATTTTCATAAAAAAGATCATAAATATCCAATTATAGTTATCGCAGACCTTGTTATGTTTGGATTGTAAGTAATTTAAAATCTATCCAAGTCAAATAAAAAAACATGAAAATTTGATACATAGGATCCCAAAGCGTCCGAGTTTGCTATTTAGACTCAACGTATTCTAGGTATCTATCAATGTGTTTCGATACACCATTCTACTTCATAAGTTATATCCATTGATGATTCTATAGCAAAATTGGTCTCTTTGAACATTTTTATTTGCCACAAATTCACTTGTGAACGGAAACAAAAATAAAATAAAAATAATCTATGTCATCACTTTGTCATAAAAAAAAAAATATGTATGTTAGCTAATAAGTTGTCTCTCACATTATACGAAATGACCAATAAAAGGTCAAACTCAATAAACAATGTATATTGAATCAATTAAATTATTTTAGGAATTTTGAATTGGCACTACCTACAATAATCTTGCTTATTGTAGGTCACTTGCAAAGGGAGTAAGACAAAATAAAATGGAATATTAACTATTTATGAAGTTTCCTTATACGTATGTTTATTAAATATTGAGTTAGATGTCATTTTGATTTATTTCCTTATTTATTGTAGGAACACGTGGGATGGAGAACTGGGGCGCGGCTTGAGCATAGATGGAATGATGATCACGGTGATATGAAGCACGTAGACAAGATTCGCCAAATATCGTATATATGAAAAGTCGTGTTTATACATGACTTCGGACCTTCCAAGTAAGAGCGACTGGGAGACCTGATAATGAAGAAAACATTCTACCATTGAAGATTTTGAAGATCGATTGCCAAAAGAAGACTCGTATTCATTTAGAATTCTTAACCATTGTATTGTATGCATAGAAAGAGAGAGAAAGAGAGAGAGAGAGAGAGAGAGAGAGATTGAATTGTACCGAGTTTTTTCTGAGAGTTTTAGAGATGAGTGATTTTATGTTATAGTTTTAGTCAAACTTTTAGTATGGGTTCTTATGGACTGAAAGATTGACATTTTCTTTTATTTATTTTCATACGACACTTGGAATAGTGTCTGTGTACATGTGAAGGGATCCACGATAGGTTTTGAAGTGAGTTAGCCAAAAAATAGCTAGAGAAGTGGAGTGTAGGAAGTAGGAACAATCAAATTAGAAGAAAATTCTAGTCGAGTAAATCTATATTATACTATGTGTGCACAACCATTTTCTACTTAAAGAGTTTTGAGGTAAACGAAAGGCTTCCTAAAGATAATTTTGTGTTAATCGCTTCCGCTTTACATTTTGTGTTGCTATATAATATCGCAATTGTATGCTCCATTGTACAATTAAATTTTTTAAATCACACGATAATATGAACAAAGTAAGGTATGATTTATCAATTTTTATCAGAGATTTGTCGATAATTGTTTAATGAAATTTTTTATTTTATTTGGAAGATCAAAATATCTAATTTTGATATGGAGCTATCATCTGACTTGTGAAAGTTTGCAATAAACGTTTTTTGTAAATAAGAAAAAAAAAATGAAAAGAAATATAAAACAAAGCCCACTAATTGAGACAAAACAACGGGCCTCGAACCCAAATATTCCATAAAACAAGAAGCTGGATTTGAACCCATCTAGATGTTGGCATTGCAAATCCACACACAAAATTTGACAAGTTGACAAGGCCCATTCAGATGTCAACCTATTTGGGCCGTGACAAAACTTGAACATTCAATTGGTCTTTTAATTTTTTTTCTTTTTTTTTTGGTTCTATAATCTATAGCATAGTTTTTAAACCCGGCCCGGTGATCGACCCGGCAGGTCCTCGGGTCACCGGATCACCGGTTCAACCGTCGGGTCACCGGGTCAATTGCTGAACCGGATAATTAATTTAAAAATTTTTAAAATTATATATAGAGTATTTTTGTTATATAAATATACATAAAAGTAACAAATTAAATGTTTTGTGTATAAAATTTGTATACTAAAGTGTTAATAATATGTATTTCATGATAAATATCTACCATATAAACATATATACATATTTTTATTTTTAAAAAACAAAAAAAAATAAAAAAATATATAAAAAATATATATGGACCGGGTCAACCCCCGGGTTGACCCGGCCGAGTCAATGCCCCGGGTCTCTGCCGGGTCGGCCGGGTTTTGACCGGGTCCTTGGTTGCCCGGTCCAAATACTCCACCTGGACCGGTTCCGGCTCTGGGTCGACCGGGTCCCGGGTCGACCCGCGGGGCCGGTCCGGGTCTCAAAACACTGATCTATAGTGCTCGTTTGGATATAAATATATTGAGTTTTGCTTCTTTTTTTTATTAATTATAGTTAATTTAAAAAAAATATTTAATTAATTTTTAGGGATATTTTAAAATTTTATTAAAATAATATTCGAATAAAATAATTAAAGTTGTTTTGATGTAAAAGTAGGAGATTGGTAATTGAAAGTGATAGATAGTTAAAATTAAAATTATGTGAGTTAATGAATATCGACGTAAAATTGATTTGATGTGTAAATCTAATTAATTGATATTATTTTAATTATATTAATAATATTAAAAATAGTGGGGTTAGATTAAATTTATTTTTTTGATATAATTATAAACACTACGCAATTAATAATTATACTTGCAAAGGTATATTACACTTTGTTGGTGAATTTAAATGTTGTTCACTATATTTTAAATACTTGTCTTTTAATTTACAATTATCCATTTGAAAATTTTCATGTTGAACCCAAATGTATCTAAATACTTTCATTTATCTGTATAAATAAAAACTTAAAAACATAATTTCTGTCCTCCTAAAAAAAAAAAGAAAAAAAAAAGGAGACGGGTAAATAAAACTTGAAGCATAAGTCAGGTAAAAGATGTTTGTACAGAGATGGTACTTAAAGCAAAAGCTCACCTTTATTCATCAGCTTGCTAGCAGACATGGCCCAGAACTGTACTCAATAGTTTGGTCCAGACCCACCATGATTAGTACATGTTACATAACAGATTGGATGCTTTTAAATTCTTCAAAATTTGAGGTGAAACCAAAAAATAAAAATAAAAATTGCTCAGTAGAGCAGTAAAAATTTTCACCTATATAGAGCACTAAGAGCAGTAAAATTTTTTATAAGCCCATTCTTATGTGTGCATGGGCCCATTATTAGTAGCTACAACTGCAAACGAAATGAATTGCTCGTAAGCACTGCTCGATTATGCTTTTTCAAGCTTGAGCTCAGTTCGGCTCATTTGATAAATGACTCGAGTTGAGCCTATTTTAGCTAATGATTGGTCCGTTAAAGCTCGATAATAGGAGTTCTTACGTAATTTTTTAGAATTTTACCTTAGCCTGACTCATTAATACTCGAGTTCAGCTTGTTAACGAAATAATCAGTTTATTCGGTTAATTAATCGAATTAAATTATACTATATAATGTAACTAAATATATATATATATATATGTTTTAATCTTTTTTTTTTAATCTAAGATTTCTTTTTATTTTTTGCTGAAAGTAAGAAATTAATATAGTAAAAGATTAATACTTTTTATATAATTTAGTCTGCTCGGTTGTTTCGATTAGCCCAAAATTAAAAGTGAAATGGAACCTAAATAATAAATATTTTAAAAATAAGTAAGGCTTAGCGAAGCGAAAAGGGAAGCCTTCTCTTGTAAACGCCCCTACAAAATCGATAACCGACCCGACATATAAAAAATCGAATCGAAAAATCTATATTTTGATTGATTTATTTTTTTTTTTTTCAGTTTTAATCGAAATTTGAACTCCCTATATGGAACATGTTGACTCCACTAATTTTAAGACATTCAATAAAAAGGGATCTCTACACTATAGAATGTCTGGGATAGTTTTCTCACAAAAATATAGCTGTAAGCCTGTAACACTGTAAAAAGACAAAAACAACCCATGAAGTTTTTTCCCCTTTTGCTTTGCATTTCGAGTTTTGTGCTGCTTGGAATATATTCGTTTAGCCACAGGCATTTTGTTATATTTTCACCTTTTTTATGTGCACACACTTGTAATATATATAAATTTTTATGCTTCATTGTCTTTCCATGCATAGTCATGACTCAGATAATGTGGTCCTATGCTACTTTCAAAGATGTGTAGTTTGAGATTGAGAGTGTTCATATTAGTAGTAATACCATGACGTTGTTGCTTATTGTAGTGAAACAAAAACGTTACTAGGTAATTAATTAATACACAAGTGTACTTTTGTTATTAAGTGAGATTTAGATCTCTCTGACAGTGACAGAGATATCAAACTATTTCATTTTTTTCCTTAATAAGACAACTTAGAGTCTTAAACATAGCAAAAGGCAAACAAACCAATGAGAATCTCTGCAAACTTTGCTTAAACTAACATAACATAATAACATAAACCTTCCCAACTATGTAAACAATCAATTTCCCAAAGTAACACAACACAAAATAAAACAACAAACTTGAATATTTTTTCCCTATAAGACTGTCCTTTTCCTTCACCAAAACAACCCATCTCCCTTTGTCCTTCTCCTCCAAAACACACTGCAAATGGACAGAGTAACAGCCAAGCTCAACATCACAATTTTCTCCATTCTCTTCTCCTTATTATCATTGTCTTGTTCCAATGTAAGTTTCATAATATAATCCTCTTTTCTCTAGTCTTGTTTTTTCTCTTTTTTCTAGTCTTTTTTTCTATCTCATTAAATGTAACAAAAATCTCTTGTCCTTAATCTCACTCTTGCAGGTGAACTCATTGTCTGAAGAACCCAATGCAACAACTCCAAACTCAACAAAGCTAAACCTAAACCCCTTCACACCCAAGGCCTCACTCATCAGGTACTGGAAAAACCACATTTCCCAAAATACCCCTCTACCGCCTTTCCTCCTCTCGAAAGCCTCCCCTTTATCCCCCGTCCAGTCCTCGCTTTTCGCCGATCTCCTCTCCCGAGACTCCCTCTCGTCCCACCTCGCCGCCTTCTGCTCGTCCGCCAACCTCCTCTGCCCCCTCGACTCCAAACCCGTCCTCGAAAACCGCAACAACGACGACGCCAACTTCACGTCGTACACGACAAACAAGGCATTCACAAATTACGGAAATGCCCGTCTCGGAGGATCCGACTTGTTCAAATCCTACTCGGAAGGAATCAACTTCGCCTCCGGCTCGTTCGCCCGATATAGCCGTGCGGCCACCGGCCGCCGGGAAAGCTTCACCGCCTACTCCGGAGACGCCAATGTGGCGGCGGCCAACTTCACGTCGTACGCCGCCGGAGCCGGCGGCGGCTCCGGCGACTTCAAAAGCTACTCGGCGCGCGTGAACGTTCCCGACAACGAGTTCGTGACGTACGACTCGAACGCCAACGGGCACCGGCTCACGTTCGCGAGCTACGCCGACGAGACGAATTCGGGAAGACAATCGTTCGCCGGATATGGGAAAAATGGGAACTCGGCGCCCGTCGGGTTCGCCAGCTACGGGAGCTCGTCGAACGTCGTGGGCTCGGCTTTCTCGGGTTACGGCGAGTCGGGCAACGGGGCGAACGACTCGTTCAAGTCGTACACGACGAACGCGAACAACCCGAGCAACAACTTCAAGAGCTACGGGTCGGGCGGGAACGGCGGGCTTGATGGCTTCGCGAGCTACCGCGAGTCGGCGAACGCGGGCTCGGACGCTTTCCAATCGTACGGGAAGGGGTCGAGCTCGGAAAAAACAAGCTTCTCGAACTATGGGAAGTCGTTCAACGTCGGTTCCGACATGTTCAAGGAGTACGCGAAGGGATCGGTCGGGCAACTAGTCGGGTTCGAGATTTACGGCGCGAACGCGACTTTCAAAGAGTACGCGAAGAAGAACGGCGTGACGTTCGCGCAATACACGAAAACGGGCTTTCCGGTCAATCAAGCCGTGGAACAGGGGAAATTCTTTCGGGAGAGCTTGCTAAAACAGGGGACGGTGACGAGGATGCCGGACATAACCGACCGGATGCCGAGGAGGTCGTTTTTGCCGCCAGGGATCGAGTCGAGGCTGCCGTTCTCGACCGAGCGGCTGGCGGAGATGAGACGGGCTTTTCGGGCCGGTGCCGGGTCGGGCGAGGCCCGAATGCTCGAAAACGCGGTGGCGGAGTGCGAGCGGGAGCCGAGCAGGGGGGAGACGAAGAGGTGCGTGGGGTCCGCGGAGCGGATGATCGACTTCGCGGTGTCGGTGCTCGGTCGGGAGGCGGCGGTTCGGACGACGGAGGGTTTG